CACAAGCTTCACCATACACATGGAGTTCCACTACACAAGCTTCACCATACACATGGAGTTCCACTACACAAGCTTCACCAAACACATGGAGTTCCACTACACAAGCTTCACCATACACATGGAGTTCCACTACACAAGCTTCACCATATACATGCAGTTCCACTACACAAGCTTCACCATACACATGGAGTTCCACTACACAAGCTTCACCATACACATGGAGTTCCACTACACAAGCTTCACCATATACATGCAGTTCCACTACACAAGCTTCACCATACACATGGAGTTCCACTACACAAGCTTCACCATACACATGGAGTTCCACTACACAAGCTTCACCATACACATGGAGTTCCACTACACAAGCTTCACCATACACATGGAGTTCCACTACACAAGCTTCACCATACACATGCAGTTCCACTACACAAGCTTCACCAAACACATGGAGTTCCACTACACAAGCTTCACCATACACATGAAGTTCCACTACACAAGCTTCACCATACACAAGGAGTTCCACTACTTAAGCTTCACCATACACATGGAGTACCACTACACAAGCTTCACCATACACATGGAGTTCCACTACACAAGCTTCACCATACACATGGAGTTCCACTACACAAGCTTCACCATACACATGGAGTTCCACTACACAAGCTTCACCATACACATGGAGTTCCACTACACAAACTTCACCATACACATGGAGTTCCACTACACAAACTTCTTCACACCGTCTTTTATAGTCTGTGTTCTTGTTGTACCGTAGTTCTTCATAACGAGGAGGCAAGGTGAACTCCATTCACTGTCGCTTACCTCGGCCAGATCGTTGTCCAGCAGATATCTCACTTCCTTTCTGATTGCCTCCGCTTTGTCAGGATTTATGATTTATCCTGTAAGGGTGCTGTGTGATGGGAGCAGCATCTCCTACTGCCTCATTAACCTCATGCACTGTCCTTCGATGTCTCCGCGGGGCATCAGTAAAAAGCAATCCATTTGCTATAAAATTTTCACCAATTCCTGGCGCTGGTTTTAATTCCTGGCTCCAAATGAACCAATTGCTCCTCCCCCTTGGCCAGGCTGTCCGTGTTAGACATCTTAGCTCCGTCTGCCCTCTCTTGCTGAATGTTTTCTTCCTCCATTTCTTCTACCTCAGGTTGGTCTCCCAAGCTGACCCAACCTTTTCTGATGAACGGATTGTATATGGTTCATTAATCTTTCCTTCTGTGGTTCGTTTCTCATCAAACTCTAACGTGAGTTTCAGGTGTTACAAATTGCCAGGGTCACCGCTGTCGTGCCTGTTTGCAATCTCTCATTACTCGCCCATACTTATTACAATTGTAAAACCTTATCTTCGAGTTATTCCTTCTCTATCCTGTGTTATTTTGACCACCTGAGTGACTGCTTTGATTCTGTCCATTTGTCGTGCTGGTGCGTCTCTGTACAGGCGCATCACCTGCACTAGGTTGCATCTCGCTGGTTTCGACCCGACTCTGTCGCTGGTTTCGACCCGACTCTGTACAGACTTTGTCTCTCACTTGTCCCTTGCATCTGGACTCTGAAACCCTTTTTTTTATTGGGTTTTGGGCTCACTTGCTTATTCACCTGTCCAACAAAAATGTTCTCACCTCAGGATCCACTGGTTCTTATAGTTTCGTTGTATATCACTCCTCACCCTCTTTTCTTTCAAGATTCGATAGACTTCTGTGATCATGTACGCCGTGTCTGCTACATCCATGACATTTATCACTCCTGCCTCCAGAATTATAAATTTTGTTTTGAGATGCATCATATCTAAAGACTTCTCCATTGTCATTAACATTGTCATTAAGTTATTGTATGACTCCACTCTGACAGCTTCAATCCACCTTTGGAAAAGTTGTTCTAGGTTCCTAGCTGTCTATATGAAACTGCTGGCTGGAGCTTTCATCATGTCCCGAAATCGCTTCCTATGTGGGGGTTTCCCAGCTAGATTTGTTTAATTTATTTATATATTGAATTATTGATTTATTGAACTTACTTTATTGAACTAATTTATTATTATTAATTCAAAGTGTACTGTATATTTAAAGGTAATTCTGCTGGGAGTTACCTGTACACAAGTGTGGGGGTTATATACATAGCCTATACCACAAATAATGAATATTAATAAGCTACAAGATTTATGTGTGTTAGTACTAGAGCTAAAATGGGTTAGTTAAGGAGTAACCACGTCTCAGCTGTTAAGTTGTTATAGTCTAGTCATCTAACATCAGACACTATTCACCACATGTAGTCCATTCTGGACCTGTATTAATGGCGGCTGTTGGTCCTTGTTAGAGCAAGTATGGCGTCCGTACAGGTTCATGTTGGTGTTAACAGCTCTCTGTAGTTTTCCTCAGTTTGTTCCAGGTTACCTGCCAAATATATACACCGTAATAATTGTACGACAATATTATAGTCAATAAATGTTATTTGTTTGAATCTGCGTAGTTGGTAAAACCGATGCTCACCCTTGTTTGGTGTTCGCCTACATTATAACTGAGTTGAATTTATCTAATGTTATCAAGCCTTCTAATAAAAGATAATTAATTCAAACTGGAAATAAAGATACTCCCTAAAGTTAATGAGGTCACTGTGGCTGAATCACTATTGGGCAATTGAAATATCAGATCTTTGTATTGTCGTGTGTCACGGACCTCTCGAGGAGCTTATTGTTCACATTCGCTCCAAGCCAGCCTTCCTACCATACGAACCCTGGACAAGTTCAAAGCCCTAATCTAAATTTCGTCATTAGGGAGGTAGACTTTAGTTTCATTGATAATTGTATTAGATCCAGTCATAGAGAATACATTTTTATTAATTATAATGTCTAGACTGGTGGTTTTAATGATACATGTTGAGGCTTAAATGAATGTTTTGATGACATCACAGATTTCCCATTTTCTCTGAACGGTCACAAAACCCATTTTCTTGTAATAAAGTTAGTGGTTAGTAATCTAGTGTCGGAATTTCCGACATCCTATAAGCTGAGAATATGGAGATAGTCGTCAGGAGAGGTGACAAGTCGCGAATATATGTTATTCTTAAAAAAATATGAATATTTGGCAAAAATGAGCCCCATCCTCACCGACCAACCCCATCCTCTCCGACCAAGCTAAATTCCAAAGGGTCACGAGAGCCACTACAGCCAAATTGAAAACGAAGGTAAACAGACTGATTGAGACTCTGAACGCCAAGAAGTCTGGACTCCACCTATTAAAGGTTACCGGGGAATACAAACCAGGTTATGCATATGGGAATGTCAAGACCCACAAATCTGGAAACCCACTTTGGCCAATCATCAGCCAGATACCCATACCCACATACAGACTGGTTAAGCGATTTAACTGCCTGCTGACTCCTTATGTGTCTTGTGCTTTCAGCCTGAAGTCTCCAAAGGATTTTATTAACTTGTTGTGGGGAGCACGGGCCCCAGGAATGAGAGCCACTCTGGATGTGAAGTCGCTGTTTACCAATGTGCCTGTGGACAAAACAGTCAGAATAATGATGGGCAGAGTGTATCGTGATCTGGCTTGTACTCCTCTAGACATACTAGAGAGCATACTGAGGAAGTTACTTGAAGCTTGCACTGAAGAGGCACCCTTCTTGAGTCCCGATGGGCACATGAATAAACAAGTGGATGGGGTTGCGATGGATTCTCCCCTAGGTATCCTGTTCGCAAATTTTAACAAAGGTACCATAGAGCAGAGGGTCTTATTTGACATGGACTTAAAACCTGCCATATAATGCAGGTATGTTGACGACATATTTATGCAGGCACCTGATGTTGGACGTTTGCACCAGTTGAAGGAAGCATTCGAGCAAAATTCGGTGTTAGGTTTCATTTACGAGATGGAGAGTGATGGGAAGCTGCCCTTTCTAGATGTAACAGTCGCGGAAAGAAATGGAGGCTTTCATACTGTGGTCTACACTAAGGCAACGAGCATAGGAATGTGCCTTAATGCCAATAGTAACTGCCCAGACAGGTACAAGAAGAGTGTTGTCAACGCTTATGTTGACCGAGCTCTCACTCACAGCTCTTGTTGGAAGCAGGTCGATGAGGAACTCTGCAGAGTAAGACAAATCCTAGTCAATAATGGCTTCTCTAGCGTTTATGTTGAAGATTGAAGATGTCCGAATTCATCTGGATGTTGATTATTGGTGTCAGCTCCCGAATGAACGCAGCTTCAAGCATACGAATCTCAGTAAATCTCTATGTTAGTGAATCTCAGGCTTGAGGTTCACTGTTGAGAAAAGTGAAGGAGGCAGGATTCCATTCCTCTATGTTCTTGTTGACGGTAATTCGGGTAGATTGATCACAGATGTGTACCGTAAACCTACTGATGCAGGAAAATGTATGAACGGTAAGAGTGAATGCACTGACATATAAGAAAGCGTCATCAATGCATATGAAGGTCATGCAATACCTACATGCTCTTCTTGGCAGCTCTTGCACCAGGAACTTGAATAAATCCGCCAAACTGTTGTGAACAACGATTACAGCAATACAGAATTCGATGAAATCGTAAGAAGCTAGGCTGCCACCTGACTGAGGATATTCAGGTCCCAGGGATGGAAAATTGCCCCCAAGAGAAGACATTGTAGTGTATTATAAAAATACATTCAATCAGGCGGCATACAAGAAGGATGAGAAGGTGATACAAGACATAATTGGCAGGAATTACAAACCTGGCAGTGAAAATGCAAGGATGCACCCTGTCATTTATTATAACAACCCTCGTATATCTTCCCTCATTATGAGAAATAACATTTCTGCCTCCTCTGACAAATTGAAGTGTACTAATGTAGTGTATCATTACAAATGCAACTCTGGAGACTGTGCACTCCAAATTATATGCTACATTGAGCACACGACGAATACATTGAGTAGACGTCTTACACTTCATTGGCAAGACTGAGGTATTACGCAACACCATTCTCAATACCACAACATCCTTAATCACCAAGACATGGTGAAAGATAAAGCAATAATCACACGCACCGACGACCGTAGGAAGCTTCGTATGCTGGAGGCTGTGTTCATAACGGGAGCTGACACAAGTAATCAACATCCAGATGAATTCGGCTTCGAGCATACAGATGTTCGATGGTCCTCCATTGATCTGGAGGGAAATTGTAAAACTTTCATTGGCGGACAATGACGGACGAATACAAGCCGGAGTCAGGCAACAATCACCTCACCCTACCCTTCGTCGCTCTCTAGGAATAAGGGGGTGAATCGTAGAGTGAGATGTCCCCACCCTTATATCTAGATTTCTCCTTGTAAGTTCAGTATTAACTTACAGTAAGTGCAAAATAGTGTAGTCTTGAAGATGTCACATTGCTTACGAAACGTCGAAAAATGGAAAGAGCTCGTGACTGTCTGGGTTCGAATCCTTCTGGGGTGTGGAGTTTTCAGTTGCATATTGGCTTGGAACCCATTCAAGCTTGTTCGCATATATATATATATATATATATATATATATATATATATATATATATATATATATATATATATATATATATATATATATATATATATATATATATATATATATATATATTAGTATATTTTGGTAGCAGTCTTTCCTGTAGACATATATTATTAAATATGACCGAAAAAGTAAGATTAATAATTCTAACACGAATTTTCTCAATCTTTCGTACATTACGCTTCACTGTTGGAGGTAAATCAAAAATCACTTCTCCAAAATTCATTTTTATTTCTAGTCTGACGCGACACGGGCGCGTTTCGTAAAACTTATTACATTTTCAAAGACTTCACAAATACACAACTGATTAGAACGTATCTCTGATTTTATATCTACATTTGAGTGAGGTGGGAAGGGTGATGTGGCATTAACACAAGACAGAACAGGAGGGGATATTAATAGGGTATTAAAAGTATCAACACAAGACAGAACAGAAACAATGGGTATTGAATAGAAGTGTTTGTAGAAAGCCTATTGGTCCATATTTCTTGATGCTTCTATATTGGAGCGGAGTCTTGAGGTGGGTAGAATATAGTTGTGCAATAATTGGCTGTTGATTGCTGGTGTTGACTTCTTGATGTGTAGTGCCTCGCAAACGTCAAGCCGCCTGCTATCGCTGTATCTATCGATGATTTCTGTGTTGTTTACTAGGATTTCTCTGGCGATGGTTTGGTTATGGGAAGAGATTATATGTTCCTTAATGGAGCCCTGTTGCTTATGCATCGTTAAACGCCTAGAAAGAGATGTTGTTGTCTTGCCTATATACTGGGTTTTTTGGAGCTTACAGTCCCCAAGTGGGCATTTGAAGGCATAGACGACGTTAGTCTCTTTTAAAGCGTTCTGTTTTGTGTCTGGAGAGTTTCTCATGAGTAGGCTGGCCGTTTTTCTATATTTTCTATATTTAATATATATATATATATATATATATATATATATATATATATATATATATATATATATATATATATATTAGTATATTTTGGTAGCAGTCTTTCCTGTAGACATATATTATTAAATATGACCGAAAAAGTAAGATTAATAATTCTAACACGAATTTTCTCAATCTTTCGTACATTACGCTTCACTGTTGGAGGTAAATCAAAAATCAATTCTCCAAAATTCATTTTTATTTCTAGTCTGACGCGACACGGGCGCGTTTCGTAAAACTTATTACATTTTCAAAGACTTTAGTTCACAAATACACAACTGATTTACGTATCTCCGATTTTATATCTATATTTGAGTGAGGTGGGAGGGGTGATGTGGCATTAACACAGCAATCAACAATCAACAATCAATTATTGCACAACTATATTCTACCCACCTCAAGACTCCGCTCCAATATAGAAGCATCAAGAAATATGGACCAATAGGCTTTCTACAAACACTTCTATTCAATACCCATTGTTTGTGTTCTGTCTTGTGTTGATACTTTTAATACCCTATTAATATCCCCTCTTGTTCTGTCTTGTGTTAATGCCACATCACCCCTCCCACCTCACTCAAATATAGATATAAAATCGGAGATACGTAAATCAGTTGTGTATTTGTGAACTAAAGTCTTTGAAAATGTAATAAGTTTTACGAAACGCGCCCGTGTCGCGTCAGACTAGAAATAAAAATGAATTTGGAGAATTGATTTTTGATTTACCTCCAACAGTGAAGCGTAATGTACGAAAGATTGAGAAAATTCGTGTAAGAATTATTAATCTTACTTTTTCGGTCATATTTAATAATATATATATATATATATATATATATATATATATATATATATATTGTGACGGTAACGCGTTGGTGTTCGGCTGTTTAAGGCTAGGGGTATGGCCTCGTCACATAGTTATAAAAAAAAATAGAAAAAACTGGAACTTCGTCTGTGGTAAGGTAAGGAGAAGACACACAAAACACAAGTAAACTTTAACAATGAAATTTTAATTACGTTAAATAAATCAAAACATGAAAATAATGCACAAACAAATTCTTATAATAAAATCAATGAATCAAAATAATAAGAATACTTAAATGACAACATGAAAAGTTACGTTAAGGCAAAATAACAAGAAGTGCAATACAACAGTAAGTGGGAGGTGCTGGAATATTGGCTTAAAGCCACCACCTCTCTCAGTACACTCTAGAGTCTAGCTGGGAGGTGTGCTGGCTACGAAAGCACGGAACATTCTGAGGACTGATGTTGGGGTGACCCCAGACATCAGGTAGTATTGGGGGCGAGTGCAGGTGCAGCCAGACCGGCGACCAATCAGCGGAGCCGTAGCGATCAACGGGTAGTTTGGTGGTTGGAGTTCGAACAGGTGGCTGGATGCATACGTTTCTGCTCACCCTGGCAAGCCTTGCTGGTGCTGGTGTTGTTGTCGTTGTTTGACATTTCTTCCATAGTCTTTTATATAATTGTGACGACGTAATTATGAAGGGAAGAGCAGGCTCAATCTCTTGAAGGAGATTATTGTCACAACTCTCCCCCGAAGCCTGCGGTTCTGGAAGAAGTACGTCGTTATGTGGTGGAGTAATGGATGGAGTCGCTTCTACTTCATAAACTCTGGAGAGATCATGGGCTAAGATGTTGTCAGACTCTTGGTATAGCGTGTCTCCAGGTTGAATTTCTGCAGGTAGCAAGCCCATAGTAGAAGACGTTGAGATGAGAAGTGGGCGTGCTGCAGGAGGTGTAGGGTGGTGTGGTCCGTGTTGATGGTGGACCGAGCACTTTTCAGGTGTGGAGTGAAGTGCTGAAGCTTCAGGATGAGGAAGAGTAGCTCCTTGCCAATTGTTCCGTCGTTCCTTGTAGCAGTAGTCGCTGACAGGTGTATTCTTCTCGCCTCGTTGCTGCATCACGACACCACCATCGTCGGTACCATTGGCGTCGACATGGAGGATGTAGGGCTTATCTGACGAGGTGAGAGTGGAATTAGAAGAGGGCATAGGAGCACGAGTATTATCCTGAAAGCATTTGGGAAGATCATTAAGGATTTTGGAATTAGAAAGCGCCGACTCCTTGTCAGTGCTTTCGGGAGAAGAAGCCGGGATGGTCTCACTGTGGATGTAGGGTTCTGTGAAGGTAGAACAATTAATCAAGACAGTGGGAGGAGTACCATTATATTGCTTCAGGAGGTTGACGTGGCACAGCTGGGTCTTCCGCCGCCTATCTGGAGTCTCTATCACATAATTATTATTATTCCTGCACTCTTTGACGCAGTAGGGTCCTGAAAATTTGTTTTGTAAAGGTGAACCTGGGATAGGGAAATAAGCAAGGACGAAGTCTCCCGGCTTGAATTTTCTTACTTTGCTGGTCTGGTCGTAATGAGTCTTCATTCTCACCTGGGCTTTCAATAGATTATCATGAGCAAAGCGGTGGACTCTCTCTAGAATGTGTTGAAGGTTTTGAAGAAACTGGGGCACATTCTGATGCTCACTGAAGGTGGCATCTCTGAGAGAGTCTTTGAAAGCCTTAAGGGGAGTACGGCACTTACGGCCGTAGAGCATCTCATAAGGAGATACTCCTAGGGACTCATTGGGGAGACTTCTGAAAATACACATTATTAGGTCAATCTGCTTATCCCAATCCTTTGAGGTTTCACTACAAAACTTTTTCAAGAGTGCTTTGATGGTCTGATGACTACGTTCAAGAGAACCCTGTGAAGCAGGATGATAGGGGCTGGACAATACCTGTTTGATGTTGAACTCCTCCAGTGTTCTTTTGAAGAGATCACTGGTGAAGTTGGTGCCACAGTCACTTTGAATCTCCCTGGGAAATCCGTATTGAGTGAAGATCTTCAGTAGATGTTTGATAACCGTAGCAGCCGTGATGTTCTTCACTGGAACTGCTATGGGAAATCTGGTGGTAGGACACAGGATGGTTAGGATGTAGGCGTTACCTGAACTGGTCCGAGGTAAAGGACCAACACAGTCTATTATGAGTCTGTGGAAAGGTTCCGCAGGCACCTGTATGGGAATCAGTGGTGCTCTGGGAATGGAGACGTTCGGTTTGCCTGCCATCTGACATGTATGACACTGTTTTACGTACTGTTTGACGTTATTTACCATACCTGGCCAGTAGTAGTCTTGGCGAATCCCATGGTAAGTCTTGTTGAAGCCGTAGTGGGAGAATGCTCCATGGGCCAGGTGTAGAATAGTGGGCCGCAGGCTGGTGGGAATCACAAGTTGTTCGGTGTTGGCCCAATCGTCCTCCTCCTTCAGTTTACTGGGTCTATATCTGCGGTAGAGCAAGTCGTTCTCTAGGAAGAACCCAGGAATACTGTCGGGTTGAGTCTCAGCCTGGAAAAACAATGGTGTTAAAGTAAGATCTTCCCTCTGCAACTTACGGAACTCCAACTTGGTCAGATGCGGGGGTAGTTTCTGAGGGTCTTGAGGGACAGCGGTGGCAGTAGAGTCAGCTGGCTGTGGACGTGCGGCTTGTGCACGGGTGGTCACGAGAACCGGAGGAGAAACTTCATCACTCTCTTGAACCTCTGCTGGAACATACTCTAGAATAGGATTTATTGGCACAGAGTTACACACCTGGGGTTTGTCCATGACGATCAGGTTGGTCGGTTGCAGGTCTTCTGCCAAGTCGTTGCCTAGGAGAAGTTGCACTCCAGGCATGGGAAAAGGCTTTTCCCTGACGGCGACTTG